CCAAGTTGCAAAGGGGCAAATGCAGAATACTGGTTTGTATACTCCCCTACCTGTGCCCAAGGATATCTGGGAAGATTTGAGTATGAACTTTATGTTGGGACTTCCCCGAACACAAAGAGGCGTGGATTCAATATTTGTGGTAGTGGATCGATTTTCTAAGATGACTCACTTTATTCCATGCCGCAAGACTTCGGATGCACCACATGTTGCACGACTATTCTTTCAATAAGTGGTTCAACTACATGGTGTTCCTAGTTCGATTGTTTCGGATAGGGATACTAGGTTCTTGGCGATTTTTTGGACTACTTTATAGCGACGATTTGACACTTCATTGAACTATTCTAGTACAACCTATCCTCAAACGGATGGACAAACGAAAGTGGTCAATCGGACTTTGGGGAACTTGATTCGATGCATATGTGGAGAGAAGCCAAAGATGTGGGATCAAGCTATACCTCAAGCTGAATTTGCTTACAACTTGACTGGTCATAGTTCTACAAGTATGTCTCCTTTTTTGATTGTTTACAGTAAGACACCTAGATATCTCCAAGATTTGTTGAAGTTGCCGACAAGTAGCAAGTTCAGCGAGTTAGCAAGCTCAATGGCAGAGAATGCTTTCAACGTTCAGGAGGAAGTGCATACAAAGCTCGAGAAGGCTAATGAAAAGTTCAAGGCGCGAGCAGACAAGAAGAGGCGACTCAAGGTGTTCAATGAAGGAGACATGGTGATGGTTTACTTGTGGAAAGAACGGATGTCGACTGGAACTTATAGCAAGCTTAAACTGAAACGATATGGCCCGTTCAAGATTCTCAAAAAGATCAATTATAATGCATATGTAGTGGATTTTCCGAAAGGAATGGTTATGTCGGTGACATTTAACGTGACAGATATTTTTTATTATCATCCTTCAATCAAGTTGTATTTGAGTGACGTGAACTCAGAGTTGAGTTCTTTCGAAGAAGGAGGGACTGTACAGGAGATCAAGTATTGGACGAGACGAGAAGAAAAGCAGCTGAGACGACATAAGCGGACGACGACTCGACCGAGACGACATCAGCAGATGATGACTCGACATTTCAACTCGAGTTGAGATGACAAGATGAGACGATACACCCCAGTTAACAGTCGAGACGACAGGTCGAGGCGACACATCCTAGTCGACACGAAAGACGGTGTTAGTCGACACATACCAGTCGACACGAAGGGCAGTGTTAGTCGAAACATGTTAGTCGACACATGCCAGTCAACACGAAAGACGTCACTACTCGACATGCCTCGTGTCGACTCAGAAACAGATTAGGAAAGTTTTATATTTTTGGTTATTTCCTTTTAAATTCGGACTTTCTTTTTTGTTAGGGTTAGGATAAGGTTAGTTGGCTATAAATATTAGTTCCTTTTGTAAATCGTAAATTAACTTTTCAATTATTGAATCAAGAGTAATTTCTCCATTGTTTTCTTCCCTAAACTTGGGAAAATTAGGGCTTGTGGATTCAAGCTTGTTATCTACCTGTTATTGTCAGGACTTATCGGCATCGGAATGATATCCAATCGGCCTCCCCATTTCTACGTCTGCGTCAGTAAATGTTGAGAAGAAAAACCACTATGTTTGAGGTTTTTTCAATTAACACCCAAGACTTTACAAATGTCAGTTAACCCCCAATTAGTTTTCTAGAAAACTCTCAAAATGAACACCGTTAGTTTTGATGTGTCATATTTAAATCACATGCAGTCAAGTGATCAAAATATCCTAATAATTTTTGTTAGTGTTATAGCCTAGAAATCAAGTACTAATCTCTCTAGAGAAGCTCTCTAGAGAACCTGACACGTATCTCTCCCCTCGCATAATCAAACGAATTGAAGCCAAGACGACTTAAACAACCCGCATTCGGCCTACTATGTCAACCAACAACTTACGTAGTCGAGTCAAAAAGGTGGTACTTGTCGCCCACCTCACACAATCGACTCTACGAACAACCCACACTCGCTCTACTATGTCAACCGACAACTTACGTAACCGAGTTAAAATGCAGTACATGTCGGCCACCTGACCAGATTGACCTTATGAGCAACCCGCACTTGGCTAACCGTGCATGCCGACAACTTGCGTAGCCGAGTCAAAAGGCGGTGTTTCTCAGCCCTTGACCAAAGAAGAGAGAATAGCTGTTACATCGAGCCCCTCGTTGGCCAGCTGCTCTCACATCAAATGCTCTAACAAAATCATCATTGCTCGAGCATCCATAGTCTTTATGACTCATCAGACTCAGTTAGCTCCAAGCATTTGCTATCATTCCCTCATTAGATGACCAGACGACTCACCTTCTTCCGCTCAGCAGCCTGACTGGACTCGGTCAATGTTACCTTCATACCCCTCTGATCTACTATAAAAAGGAACTACACTGCATGAGGTAACTTCTTCTACTTTTTGACAACTTTGAATAATTACCTATACAACTTGTCGCATTTTCCCACTCATGATCAAAGTCCTAACTTGATCGTCGGAGGAACAATTGAAGAACCTAACTATGCCCTCTTACGAGTTTTTCATGTGTAGAGAAGAAAAGCAGGTTCTGAGTTTGAGGACCATAAACACTTTCATAACTCTAATATAAACCTCCTATTTGATAACTGACATCAACATGCTAGCTGAGTACGGGTGGAACGTGGAAGAGTTAGAAAATCCTCAATATGTTTTTAAGTGTTGTTACTTAACTCCCAAATTTGAAAACTAGGGTATACCCCTCGAACTATCCCAACTATTAAATTTATCCTCAATATCTTGATATTTGTAAACTTACTCCCAAATTGGATAAAATAATTCTTCCTGTCTAGCACTGTTAAATTTCAAACTGAGATGAGTAAATTATCAAAGCCATGCCACCTAAAATTTTGGAATTTTACTTTGAATGAGGGTAAAAAAAATAATGATTTTTTTGCATGTATACCCTCCAAATTTACTATACTCGGGAATGGCCCCTCAGGTCTTTAATTATATTTACAAATGTGCTTCTTCAATTGTTCAAATGTAAGGAGTACAGAAATCTAATGTTGGTGAATTGGAGGGGGTACTATGAATGTGAACTCGTATGGAAAATTTGCAAATATAGTAAATTTGAGGGTTTTAAGTGTAAATGCAATTTTTAATCAATTTTGGGATATTTCGAGGGTAAATTAGCAAGTATCTAGATTTGAACGAGAAGTTTTCATATGGGAATGACTTGTGGCCGGTTTGCAAAAAGCCCTCATATTAGAGGATCTCGACCCTTCCGTAAATTCACTGGGCTTAACTGCCATTTTCAAAGGGTTGCGTGAGAAACGCCAAGACTTATGGGGGGGTTTTGTGATTTAATTTGCCCGTTTATTCATCATAAAACCCTAAAAAGCTAAAGTCTGGCATAGATTTTGCTCCTTCTGATCACGATTGAGGCGATTCCCTATATTTCGTCTCTATTCATCGAATTAGAGGTCACATCCTTCTTCTCATTCTCCAGGCTGCGTTTCCGTCCTTTTTTTATTATTGTTTATTTTTCTGTCGGCCTGAAGTTTTAATTTAGAAACACGTGCAGGGTCAGCTCTACACTTGCCCCTGGGATGCAGTTATACCCCTGAACTTTTAAAATTTTACATATAGCCCTATAAGTTTTTCTCAATCGCCCCCATGATTTTAATAATTGCACCGTAACCCATCCAATGTGGGCCCACGCCCGTTAAGTGGGCCCAGAAGTATTAAGCCCAGATAACTTACACCCAAACTCAATGCTAACCCCCCCCCCCCCCCCATCTCCCTTCATTCTCTCAGAGTCCAGAACCCTCACACGACTCTCATTTGCGCCGCAGCCACCGCCCAAGTTTGCCGCCGACCGGAGCTCAGGCCCGACCCACTTCGGCCCTGAGCCCCGACCGGACCCACACCCACCACCGTCAATTCCGCCATCTCTCCCCAACTTCTCACCAATGTCAAGTGAGTTTAAAAATTTCTTATGAATTGTGTGTTTAAGGAGCTAATATGGGTTTGTTGAATTGCTAGTTCACACATTCACTTGCTTTCATCTATGACTGAGGGATACAACTCAAAAATTTTAATATGCTAAGAATATGCAAAGAATTAGGGTTTTTTTTTGTTAAACATTTTATTCAGTTATACTAAAATTTGAAGTATATTAAAGTGTAAAAGGATTTTTTTTAGTTAATGGGTTGTTATTTATTTTGAGAATTTGAGTCATATAAACATTGTGGAAAGTCAAATTGTGAGAATTGGTAATTAGATATTTAATCTTCTATAAATTATTTAAGTGAATACAAAGTGTTTGTTTTATGAATTTGATTTTGATATGTATTTGTTAATGTTATATACTCAAATGTTTTAGAATCTATTTGCAATGTTGGATTTTGTAGAGAACTTGTACTGGCAAGTATATACCTTTTGATTTCACTAATGGAAGTAAATTATTAGTAAGAATACTCTTTTTTGTTTTTCTATCTCATTATAGGTAAGATGTGATGCCATAAAACTGCTAGAAGTCTTTACATTACTGAGAACATTTTCACCAGGTACTATTGTTTTGTAATATTAGATTTTATGTTTAGATAAATAGATACTTGTTGTCTGCCCCACCAAGAAAAATTTTCTGGATCTGTCCCCGAACATGTCTGTGCATGAATCGCCCTTTTTTTCAATTATTTCAAATGATTGTCAAAATAATTAAAACGATTATACAAAGAAGCGTAGACAATTTAAACTGAAATAGCTAGAATAAATTTTGCTAAGCGTACAAGAGGAGAAATTTTTGGCATAGTAAACGTTGCAATTGCGAAAGGCTAATAATCCACACAATGTTTGAATATTTGCATGGCCGATAACGTATTCGAATGAGAAATAATGGGTGTGAGGTGGCTGCAGGTGTATCTCATCGTTCATCTCTCTTTGTAGCTCATATAATGGAATGAGGCCGCAACTGTTAAAAACCAATAAGACCACAAATAATCCCAATCCTCTCATCTCTTCCTCCTTCATCATCACCTCCGTCCTCTCTCTCCACTCCCTCTCCCCCGCCATCCGCCTCTTCTCCCTCCTCCCCTTCCCCTCCCCTCTCCTCCCCTTCAACTCCCTCCTACGCTCCGTCTCCCACTTCCGCTTTTCCAATCCCAATTCTTTATTCCCTCTATTCTTCTTTCTTCAACTCCTTCGAAATGGCATATCCCCCAACCGGCACACCTTCCCCCCTCTCCTCTCCTTCCTTTCCCACCGTCGCTACCCCTTCCCTGCCCCTCTCCACTCCTTCCTCCTCAAGTCCTCTTTCATCCCCTCTGACCCTCATGTCTCCTCCTCCCTCCTTTATCTTTATGCCTCCTCCAACCACCTCCCTTCTGCCCTCCACTTGTTTGATGAAATTCCCCGCATAAACAAAAACCTCTTCCTATGGACTTCCCTCATTGCATCCCACAACAATGCTGGCCTCCACGCCCAAGCTCTTCTTGTATTTGAGCGAATGCAGTACTCCGGCATCAGGCCAAATCGGGTCACTATGATCTGCTCTCTGGCTGCGTGCTCGGCCCTCGGCGCTCTAGATATGGGGGTTTGGATCCATGGGTTTGTGAAGAGGAGCAAGTGGGAGGTGGATGTTGTGTTGGGGACCGCTTTGATCGATATGTATGGCAAATGTGGAAGGATTGATGAAGGGGTTTGTGTTTTTGAGAGTATGAAGGAGAGGAATGTGTACACTTGGAACGCAGTTATTGGGGGGCTTGCACGTGCAAAGAGCGGGGAGAAGGCGGTGGAGTGGTTCTTCCGGATGGTAGAGGTGGAAGGGGTGGATCCTGATGAGGTGACTCTGGTTGAGGTCTTGCGTGCTTGTAGCTATTCGGGCTTGGTTGAGATTGGGAGAAAGATGTTTGAATCAATTTGTGACGGTAGATATGGGTTTAGGGCGGGGATCAAGCACTATGGGTGCATGGTTGATCTTTTGGGTCGCGCTGGCCTTCTTGATGAGGCGATGGAATTGATTGAAATGATGCCATTCGAACCTACTGTGGTTATATGGGGTTCGTTTTTGGGTGGGTGCAGAGCTCACGGGAACATGAGGCTGAGTGAGATTGCTGCAAAAAGGCTCATAGAGAAGGAGCCTGAGAATGCTGCACATTATGTAGTACTGTCCAACTTGTATCGTGAGATGGGGAGGTGGAGGGATGCTGAGGAGTTGAGGAGGTTGATAAAGGAGAGGGGGATGAGGAAGGATGCTGGATTTAGCTTCACAGGAGCTGATGATGCTTTAGAGACCTTTGGTTAAGCTACCATATGGTTAGCCTCATCAATACCTGATTTTGTCTTTCTTTAGTGTTATTGTTGTTTCATCTCTTGCTGCAACTTCCCCAGTTCCACTGCAGATAAAAGAGAGGCAATGAGGATGGATGCTGGATTTACCCTCACAGGAGCTGCTGATGCTGCGGAGTCCTTGGTTAAGTGACCAAAAGGTCAGCTTCCTCGACACTTATGAGCATCTTCTTTCTCTTTCTTTATTTATTTTTGATTGTTTCATCTCTTGTTGCAACTTCCCC